TTGTCTGCTCTTGACTGCCTGGCATGTCAACACAACAAGTGTTGTGTTGACACACAACACAACAAAAATTTGTTTGGGGGTCAGTTGGTGAAATATTTTGTTTTGATAATGGCAATTTTGAGAGATTTTTTAGACTTAAGAAGTACATAGTCTTGTATGAAATGCAGCTGCCCTTAAAATCTCTGTGGCTGCATTTTTCTTTCAGCAATGGTGTCAGAATTAAATAACATATGTCTAGGAAAATATTGATCTGAATGTTGCAACACTGAGTTTCACTGCCTATACCACAGCGATTTGCTGTCTTTCCTGTACAGTTCAAACAGTTGCTAAAACTATTAATCACTGTTGTATATAATTAGGTAGTGTCAGTACTCTCCTAGGTGCTTTACAGAAATGTGGGAAGACAAACTCCCTGCCCCAAGCGTTTACATTCTGAATAGGCAATATATAATTGCAGGAGGGGATAGGATGGGATTTAACAAAAACCTGTATTTAACTAGTCAAGCACAGAACACATCAGGTTAATTCCATGATTTAATATATATTTATTTATCTCTGCAGGGTGGAGTGGAGATTACGGGCCTTTTGATAATGTAAACTGTTGCCAAGTTTTTAAAAGTTGGGTGCCTAAAGTTAGGCTTCTAAATCCATACTTAAGTCCCTAAATAAGTGACCTGATTTTCAGAAGTGCTATTTTGAGGGTTTAGGTGCTGTTCCTCTAGGAGTACATATAAATATAGGAGTACATTTCATTGTAACTAATTTACCTAAGTTTCACACAGAAAGTAAATTCCTGAGCCAGGATAAAATCCACATCTCCTGGACCATTCCATTTTTTTTCCTAATTGCATATTAGGATTTTTTCCTATAATGTTTATGTAAAAATACCTCTAGAAAGTTTTTAAGTGACAAAGTTAACACTTGCTGAAGCTAGCACAACTGCCTTTCAGGAAGGCATAGAGAAAAATCAATTGCCATTTTGCCTGTGCTCATGTTATATCAGAAGGCAGCAGAATTTATAAACAGTGATTAAGACTTCAGCCTCTCTCATTTTCAGTGATGTCAGTGTGTGGGAAAAATGTGTCTCATTTAAAATTTACTTGATATAGTAATTGTCTTGACTCTTGCATTAGAATTGCATTGGGGTGATACAGTTGTTGCTGAATTACCACTGACATTTTTGTTTTCAGTGCATGCTTAATTAACAATACGTTAAAAGACCAGAAAATGGAATAACCAGAAAACTCAGAATGGTTCTTTTCAGGTCCCTTGAATGGCTAATGGCTCTTTCTTTCTTTCTTTCTTTCTTTCTTGTTAGGGACTTCTGTTGCTGGGGCTTTATACATTTTTGCCAGAATATTCACTTGGTTAGCTGTCAGGAGCAGATTTCCTTTCAATATATTTAAAGCAACATTTTTGATAGCTGCCACTAGGTCATCCAAAGCAGAACAGAAGAGTGCCTTGTGATGCTGCAGGGGACCTGGATGAGTAGTTTTATAACAGTCAGGTTTCTCAGCAAATGTCTAGACATGATTATTAGATTGCAGTCCACTTTTTATGACAGTTCTAACATACTGCCATCTGTCTTTATAAGCAGAATTCATATATATATATATTTTGCATTAACTGTGTGCCATTTGGGTGCAATAAGTTCTCACAACTATTCTTCTTTGAGAAGACTGTAGCAGAGTTTAAATCAACAAGTGAAGAGCCATATGGCTCACTTGTTAAATCATCAATGGCTTTTAAAAAGGAATTGTGACTTGCTGGAGTATAGTTGGCTGGATGCTTTTATTATTTGTAATTTATCTTGTGGCTTTTAGAGCAAACCATATTCAGACTGATGATTCTTCTGTTGTGCTGGTAATATATTGTTCCTCATTGAACAAAGATTTAGAGCTTGTAAAGAGAGATGGTTTGTGCAAAACACTTATCTTTTATGAAAGTGAGATATATTGATAGTGAATGCTACGTAATGGCTATATTTTCACCACTGTATTTTGGTTAAATATGGTTAAATACACGTCAGCTATACCCAGCAGCCCCAAGCTATCCATTATTAGCTGATCAAAGCTCTATTTCTGATTGAATATTGTTCAGCTAATGTATTATTCAACAGCTATTGGTGAAATTAGACTAATATATTTACAAGTATGTTTTCTGTGATTTTCTCCACCTCTGAGGCTTGTAGCTAAATATATTTATTTATACAGCAATCATACTCAAAAAGTTTCTTCCACTATCAGGGATATTTCTGCTTTCAGTTGATTTCCCAGCTAAGAACTGGAATGTCTCTGAAAGCAGTAGAATCTTTCCAAATGGAGGAAACTTAAGTGCAACTGCTGTAATTGTGTGTATGCATACCATTTGTATGTGTGCAGAATATATGTGCAATTTGAATTCCCAGAGAAAACTCAGTTGTAGTTAGCAAATTAATAATTGAAATGCCTGGACACTCAGAGCTAAGGTTAAACTTATCATAAAGTATATAAATCCATAGCTAATGTACCCAAACTACTAAACTTTGTCTCTTTGACAATCCCAACCTCTCATCTACCTTTCTTTTTTCCTTTTATAGCTGCTTTGTAAGATGTGATGTTGGATCAAGTCCAAAAGCTACAGTTTATATTCTCATGGAGTACCCTCCACCAGTTTGGAGAGAACTGCCAAGTAGTCCACTGGCTCCCATTCATTTCAGGATTCCATTTACAAATTTACCTCCTTAATTTTAAAACCTTCCATGGAGTTGATCCAGCCTCTTCCTGGACCTTTTTGTTCTCAAGTCCCTACTCCACACCCTCTTTAAATCTTGTACTTGACCTGTCTGTTCCTTCATGCAATCTGCCCACCTTGGGCAGGGGAGCCTTTGCTGCCATCTGGAACAACCTTCCTGTAGTTCTCTGCTCATACTAGTATTCTTTCTGGTTGAAAATCTTTTGTAAATACACATACTGCCTCTTCCTTTGCCTAAATTTCTTAATTTCTCTAATGCCCCTGTGTTCATTTATTAATTTTTACATGGTTACAATGTATAAAGCCTTTTGGGATAGTTTGTATGAAAGACTCTCTATAAAACAAAATTGGATTGTATATAGGTCCTGCATGGTGTCATTTATTTATTCTTATGGTTTGCATGATGTCTTTCTCATCTAATTAATTTTCCAATGTTTGTTTTGTGCTCTCTCCCTATAATTATCAGTCACACCATGATTTTGGTTCTCTGTATATCTTGTATTTGATTTAGTGCAATATTATTTACACATTCACCTTATAATTCATGGTTGAAAGAACAGATTCAGTGAATACTTTCTTTACAAGGCACTGGCTACTAAATGTCCTCTATAGCTTTGGTTTCAGATCTAGTTTTGAAGGTCTTCAATGCAACTACTTAAGGTCTTACTGGATTGGAGTAATTCAGACAATATTTGTGTCTCCTCACTATTTTCGAAGTGCATTAGTTGTACCTCAGCCCCTAACACTTTCTGCTTGAGGTCTCTGGGCCAAGTTCTGCTCTTAGTTACACTGACTCACTGTTTTGTGCCTGTTATCCATGCTGACTTATCAGTTATCCAGAATCTTGTAAATCAGGTTCATATCATTTGTGCTAGTTTTAAATTCTCTGAGTCTGACCTTGAAGCTGCAGATCTCCATGATGGTAACAAGTTGGGTAACAGAGCTGTCCCCTAGCAATCAATAATCCTCAAACTGCAAACAACTCATGACTTGCTTTTGGGAACTGTGTTTGACCACAAGTACATGTGAAGGGATATAGTGCTCAAAACCAATGATTACCTTCAAAAATAGGAAATACAGTAGTGTTTGCTGGAACTGATCAATGATTTAATAATACCATTTACATATACGTTCATTCATTCTTACAATGTTATGTTTTTTGTGTTGGTAGACCTGAATGTTTTGTGGTCTAGTGTCCAAAAGATTCAGAATAATACTTTTATTTCCAATAGCTTCAAACTATGCATACTTTATGTTTATAAGACACAGCCTACAATAGTGTGGGTTTGTTCCAGAGTTCATGCTACATTAATCTCAGTTCTAACAAGGGCAACTCTCATTTAATATTTATAAATCTGAATATTTTGTGCACAGTTCCCTTAAAAATACTCCAGTCCTCTTCCTTAAGTTCACTAGGAATACACAGTGGCACTGGCTTCTATAAGAAACTGTCTCAGCTTTCGATACAGCAAGGCTCAGCACCATCTGCCATTGCTAAGCCTTCTGAGCTCCTGTTGACTTCAAAGGGAATTAAACATGCTACTGAGCACCTTCCAGGAGGTACTCAGCATACTGCAGGACCAGGCTGCTAGATAGCAAGTGAGCATTATCTCATTATTTGAAATGTCCCTTAGACTACTTATAAGGGAGTGTAGGGGACATTATGAACGTGGAGGTAGTGTTATTTAAGACAACACGGGAAAGGTTTTCAGGGCAACCACTCTAATGTAACTTGTTTGGTTCCTTTGAAACTTTAAATGTTTTTATGCTTATCTGAAGTCTTCCACCCTCTGTTCCGAACAGAAAAGGGAACGGCAGTGTTTTTTCATGAGAGCTGAACAATAGTGCACTGAGATCAAATCATTTTGCAAGTCTGGAATACTGTAATGGAGACTTATTTCCATTAACAGGCTTAGGCATCTTAACTTGACACTTAATACCTCCCACTCCATGTTCCCCTCCTTTCCCAGACCCCCACTCCTCCCCACACATAGTTTTCTTAGTCAGACTCACATATGCCAACAAAATCCGTGAACTAAGAGATTTGATTATTCTGTTCCAAAATCAAGTATCCCCTGTAGGATGGTTGAATTCACTAAGCCAAGCTCTCTGCAAGACTTCCCACAAAAACCTAAAGCATACTTTTCTGTAGTATATTAACTCTGCATTTAATAAAGGGTTTCTGTTTCTTTTTCTCTTCCTAAAATAGATTCATCTGATACCAAAATTGCTACATGTACCACATGCTAAAATATAATTATTTGCAGGTGAAGAACTATTCTGGGTTATTCGCTATGGTGTTGTTTACAATCTGGTTGTGATGTGCAATGAACTCTGTGGGGATGCGAGTCGAGAAGGCTTAAGGAATGCAGTATGGAAAGCTTTACAGAAACAAAAGAACAATGAAAAGGATAGCCGAGTCCTGGAAGCCATAAGAGTAGCTGAGGTATGTATAAAATCTAAGTAACTGGAACAGACCATCACTCCAGCCGATCACCAGTGTAATATAATCTAAACATTTATTTTTAGAGTGAAAAAATGAGGATACCTTTAATTAAAGGAACAATCTCTGAGCCATGACTAGTAGCAAGCGCATTGGTTAGTGGTATTGGTCTCCGGAGCCTACTTTGATATTTGTCAGAATGTGGATTTAATTTAAAATAGGTTTTAAAGGGTTACTATTTAGGTAAAAACTGACTTATTTTAAGTTTGATAGAGCAAAGAATATACTTTGGCTTCTAAATCCCTTAATATTTCGATTGGGTTTTTTATATAGCCTCCATGTTATTCAAACAAACCAAAAATAGTGAATGAGTTTCTCTTTCTGGTTTACTGGTCAGCAGTTAACTATTATTAGTGATCTTTACAGTCCTGCTGATGTTGCTGGTGGCTGATGCCTAGGCAGGAATAAGAGACTGCTATGCTACCTTTTGCTCAGATGGAAACAAAAAACTAAAAAGAATCATTGTGTTTTCTAAGGTCCAATCCAGCTCCCATGGCAATCAGTGTTAAAACTGCTATTGATCTCAACAGTGTGGGATTATTTATTATGTGAACTACATTATTGCCTAGAGTCCCCAACTGAGATCAAGTCCCCATTGTGCTAGGTACTGTACAAACACAGTAAGAGGCAGTCCCTGCCTCAAAGAGTTTACACTTCAAGTAGACAAGAGAAACAAAGGGTGGGAGAAAGGGCGTATTATCCCCATTTTACAGATGTGGAACATAGACACCAAGATAAAATGACTTGCCCAAGATCACACAGGAGGGTCTGTGGGAGGGTCAAGAATGGCACCCGGGACCTTGAATCCCAATCAAATGCTTTTATCACAAGCCTGTCCCTTTAAAAAAAAAACCCAGACATCAGTGCTCACTAGACAATATCTCTGAGTTGTGTAACATTTCAAGGGGCACCAGGTAGGGTTATCTCCTATAGACATCATTGTTAACTCTATCCGCTGAGCCTTTGAAAGGAGCTCTTCAGAGTTAATGAAGGAAGGAAATCAGGGGACTTAACAAGGTGCACAAGGAGAAAAAAAAACTCTTCTAAATGCTGATGCTGATATTTTATTTAACTTAATGAAAACAGATGCTTTCATTCTGTAAATTCTTAAACTGTCAGCTATATTTGGCTATATCTCAGAGCAGAACATTAAACTGGAAACAGTGTCTGTCAATACCTAGAGGGTCTAGCCTGCCACATTTTCTCCACAGAATAGAAGTAGGTAAAAGGATAACATCACTGGGACTTAAGAATTTGGCAATTATTGTTTTAAGTGTGCTTTAGAGGATGAGTTCTTTGAATATAGACTCCATTCTTCATAAAATAGAAACAGAATTACAGAAGTGGGACAAGTTACAGTTAAGACAGGTAAGGAAGATAAATGTGCTGAAAATGGTGCCTGCAGAAAAGTTAAATTATGTATTAAATTCTCTGCCCAGTCCTATTATCTTAGGAAATTAGATAAGAATGTCTGATTTATTTAACTGGGATGAAAATAGGCCTAGGAGATTAAGTATTGAAATCTTTGATAACCTAGAGAACACAAGGGGATTTGTCAGCTATTCACTAGATATTCTTGGACATTTGCCTTTGCCCAACAGAATTAAGGCATGTCGTTTACCTTTTCCTGCACAAGTGCATGTGGAGTGAGGGGGTGGAGGTGGGAGGGGGAGGAGGAATGCTCAGACTAGCACTCCTTGAATGCTGGGAGCAGGTAGTTTCACACCCAGCAGCAACCCACAATGATAAGGAGCATGATGAACTGGGCTTGAGGCACGGCTATGGCCCCTCCTATTTCTAGCATCAAGCATCTAGACTAGCATCTGGCAGCAGGTGCAAGGAGAGGATAGTGGTGTATGGGAAGGAATATATAATGTACTTTTTACCAGCAGGAATAAGGATAATTATCCCACACGTTTCCACCAGTGTTCTGAGATCCTCTCAGCAAAAACAACAGAGCACTTCCATTCAGCTGCTACAGGTACACCTACACACAGCACTCACCCTGGGATCAAGGCTATAGTATGTTCCTGAAGCTAACTAGCACCTCAGCACAAATAGAGATCAAAAAGGTACATTTTGCCTCCTTCTCTACTTCAGTTCCAGTGAACCACATTACAAGATAATTGATAATCTAGTTAGTTTGAATGGCCTACCTCTATGTATACAGAAGATCTCCTGTGGACCATGCTTAGCGGTGTGGCACATGACAACCTTTGCCTAAAGAGGAATAATACAATCTTTATTAATTAAATTCAGATATGGTGTGAACAGGTGCGACTTCTATTGAAGTCAGTGGGCAATGTTTGTGCCTACACTAAATTTTTGTCCTTATAGGAAGAAATAGTTTCTCTAGGAATAATATTTTCCAGCCTTGCTAGGAATCACAATAGGATTTCAGTTAGAAACTTTGAAAATGAAAACAATTTCCCCAAGTAATACATATACAGGTAGAAATAGATATAGATTGTACTGTTGCAGTGAAATGAATTTACGTGTGTGCTTTAAGGTTATTGCAAAATAATGAAAAATTTAACTTGCTAAAACAAAGTATCTGTTTGTAGCCCATTAAGAGTGTGTTTTCCTGGCCTTATGATCTCCACATCTTTAAGCAGATTGCAGTAGCTGCTTTCAAAGTACTTGAGTTACTTCCAGGATACAGTGGAATTGCTTTTCAGATTGTGGTAGATGCGCATTTGCCATACAAGCCTACATCATGAGAACTGCAAAATTGTCTACCACCACCAGTGCTAACAGGAAGGCAGCCACAAGCTCCTCTAAATAGATCAGTCACAGGCATTAAAACCACAGAGGATCAGAGGATCACAAGAGGGGAAAGGAGAAGCAATCAGTTCACAACTTCCTATTACCAAAGGGCGTATCTCTTGATTTAAAATAAGAACTCCCTGAACTTTCCTTCAGTCCCCAAATTAATTCCAAGCATTCTTTGGATTTCTAAACCATTTGATAAGGACTCCTCACCTCTCACCTCCCACCTCCCCTCAATTCCAACCCAGGGCTTTCCTGTTTCTTACATCTCCCCCCAGGAGCCTGGCCATCTCCCCGAAATACACACACACACAATGTCAGAGTCTTGGCCCTGGTCTACACTACGAGTTTAGGTCGAATTTAGCAGTGTTAGATCAATTTAACCCTGCACACATCCACACAACGAAGCCATTTTTGTCGACTTAAAGGGCTCTTAAAATCGATTTCTGTACTCCTCCCCGATGAGGAGATTAGCGCTGAAATCGACATCGCCGGGTCGAATTTGGGATAGCGTAGATGCAATTCGACGGTATTGGCCTCCTGGAGCTATCCCAGAGTGCTCCATTGTGACCACTCTGGACAGCACTTTGAACTCAGATGCACTAGCCAGGTAGACAGGAAAAGCCCCGGGAACTTTTGAATTTCGTTTCCTGTTTGGCCAGCGTGGTGAACTCAGCAGCACTCAGCAGCACAGGTGACCATGCAGTCCCCCCAGAATGTTTCTACACTCCCCCTATCATCTCCGTCCCTGAGGTTATCGCAGATTAGAAGGCGAAAAAAACCACACTCGCGATTACGTTTTCCGAGCTCATGCAGTCCTCCCGCACTAATAGTGCACAGTGTAATGCATGGAGGCATTCAGTGGCAGAGGCCAGTAAAGAATTGCTGTGTTTGCTCAATGGCAAAAGTATCATGCCTTGCTGGCGATCCTGCCCGAGCCAGGTCGCTGTGTCACATGCACTCCGCGCTGTGTCAGCCTTGGGCAGGGACATGACCGCTTTGTGAGCAGGAAGGCCATAGATATAGACATTGCATTAGATAGCTTCTGTAGCTAGAGAAAACATTCCTGTGCATTCGGCAGTCTGTGGCAAAAAAAGAGAAGCCCCTTAGTGTAGTGGGGGCCTGACGACATGTACCCAAAACCACCCGCGACAAAGTTTTTGCCCCATCAGGCATTGGGAGCTTAACCCAGAATTCCAATGGGCAGCGGAGACTGTGTGAACTGTGGGATAGCTACCCACAGTGCACCACTCTGTAAGTCGATGCTAGCCGCGGTAGTGAGGACACACTCCGCCGACTTAATGTGCTTAGTGTGGACATACACAATAGACTGTATAAAACTGAATTCTAAAAAATCGACTTCTATAAAATCGACCTAATTTAGTATTGGATTATGTAGATTGTAAACCCTTTTGCGGGGGTGGAGGCAAAGGGACCTTGTTTTCTTACTCTCTGTTAAGTGCCTTGTTCGCTGCTGGCAAAATAAGTAATAATGCAGGGAGAAGAAAGAAGCCTGACTCACCCTCCAGCTTCCAGTCCCTTAGGAAGTGATCTGCCCAGTCTGCTCTCCCAGATCCACTCAGGAGTCTTCTGCTGGGTGTGAGGTTGACCAACTGACCCCCCGCCACCCCCCCTATGGAATGAGCCATACATTCCATAGTCCTTTTAGACAGCGCACCAGACTAGGACTCCAGAGAACCAGGTTCTCTTCCCAGCTCTACCACTGGCCTGATGGGTGATGTCACTTCTCTGTGCCTCAGTTTCCCTATCTATAAAATAATGACAATTCTACTGACTTCTTTTGTAAAGTGCTTTGAGATCTACTGATGAAAAGTGCTATATAAGTGCTAGGTATTGTTATTATTTAAAAGAAGCAGTTTAGTAGAATGCTGCTGAGTAGGAATAGGGCCCTGCTGTATCGTAGAAAAGTATAGCAGGTTACTGGCGTGGAAGCAGAGTAACACTCAGAAGTTAATACTGCACTGAATTAGTAGAAAGGAGACATACCAGACTATTGTCTTAAGAGAATAGATACACTAGGGGTATGTCTACACTACAGGATTAATCCGAATTTACAGAATTCGAATTTTGGAAACAGATTGTATAAAGTCGAATGTATGCGGCCACACTAAGCACATTAATTCGGCAGTGTGCGTCCATGTACCGGGGCTAGC